GTCCATGGAGAAAGAAGCCGTGGCCAAAGAGCCCACAGTTGTCTGAACAGCTTCAGAACGGTTTGATTTATTATCTCTGGTCACAGAACCACAGAATGATTGGGGTTGGAAGGGACCTATGGAGATCATCTGGCTCAACTCCCCTGCTAAAGCAGGYTCMCAGGAGCATGTCCAGGCAGGATGTCCAGAAACTCATGCGACGCAAGTATGAAATACATCTTCATAGATAATATAATCTGAGAAGTTGCATATTTCTCATCTAATGTTTTTAGACTCACTTTTTAGACTTGTCTTGCCCATAAATACAGCAAAGTTGACAGTGAGAGAAGGATAATACTGTAGTCAGTGGAATTTGTTTTTTTCCCCTGTTCCTATCAAATTAACTGTCATTTGTTTTTGTCTTATTGATGAGTTTTGTGCAGCTGCAGTAGTAAGGCCAGCACCTTTGTGGGTGAGCTTGGAGAGCCTGGCAGGGAAGAAAGCATGAATCTTGTTGCCAAGTTCTTTCYCTTCAGATTTTAGCAGGTATTCTAAAAAGAAAAGATATCTGTTCATCTGCTTGGAGCCAAGAAAAATCACAACATCACTTTAAAAAGAAAATAAAATAATGTATGAAGGGGATGCTGTTACTGTTTCTTTCTGAACTTTTCCTTTGTGCCTTTCTGCCTCTTTCCTATGGGCTTCAGTCAGCAGGGCCCCCAAAATAATGACACTGCATGAAACAAGCAGAAGCAATGGCTTCCAGCAGYGTTCTTGGATGATATTCCAAGATCTGACAACACTAGGACACTGCCCCATAAACGATATACACTAAGTCCTCATGGTTTAACAACTTTTAAAACCTGGGCTGACTGCAGTGGTATGAAAGCTCCTACTGGAGTTTATGTTGCATCATGCACATTTATGTAGGAATACTATCCCAAATGCACATCTAAGAGGGAGGGAGAAATGAAGAGAGGCAGAGAGGGTTTACCTTATCAAAGCTCCCAGTGGGTTTGTGGCTAAGGCCAGTTTGGTATCCTATGCTAAAACCCACAGATAGCAGCCCTTTTGCTCTGGAGAACTGCTTTTCTGATTAGCAGCAACTGTCAGCAGGCTTTATCACCTACTATGCCCTTGTTATGAGATGTATGGGGTGTGCTCTGATATATGTTACATCCAAGGCCTGTCCTCAAGGGAAATTGTAGAGAAGCATTCGATATTTAMGTTTGAAATTCAGGTATCCAATGCTTTTTCAGAAATCTCATTTACTTTTTCATCTTGACTTCATTTGCTTGAAGTTGAGACAGTGGCATAGGAACACTTAAGAACACAGACAGAAATATTGCAAACAACTTGAGTGATAATATCTCCTTGAGAAAARAAATCATACAAGAGACTATTTTTCTTCTCCGCAATATTTACTGAAGCATTTTCAATACAAACTGAAGAGTGTTCAGCCAATTTTTTCAGTTATTTCTGCTTCAACAATTGCTGTTGCTTATTCTGGGCACTGAATGGATAACCAGAAACCAGTTGTTAATTTGATTAATTTTAAATAGGCAAAGAGAGGCAGAATTCAGATAGAAGGAATCTTCCATCAAGCTGTAATTACTCTTTTCACTGCCAGTTGGAAAGAAGTGCTTGATAGCATGCTGTTTGAGAATACAACTGCACTATGAATAGCTGAGTGATCTGTTAACAAGGATGAAATACATTAATTCACTCTTTCTGAAGATGTTTACCATGTTTTAAAAATCTGTTTGCTGAAAGACCTATTAGTATCAAATATTTTGTCTTCATGTGTCAGAATAAGCAGTGCCAAAAAATCCTTAGGAGAAAAAGAAATAAAGTCRTTTTGATGACACAGTGATAATCATTGTCTGCAAAGGAGGCAGAACAAATAGAAATGGCTGAGGAGATGTTTAATACAGCTTGCCTTTATAACTTTCAGTTATTCACATTAAGACACTTGCAAGCTAAAAATGCCCAGGAAACTTCCAAACATCTCTGGATTAATTCAATTATTTTGACCATCACAACAATTTTCATAAAGGAGAGAAATTGAAGCAAATACTGTTACATACATCTTCTGGGTAATTTAACGTTAAGGACAAAGGAAACACTGTAATTACAAKACACTGTAATTAAGTTTGAGAAGGGAAAGATTAAAAACCTTATCCTATCCAAAACAGAAAATATAGGTAGATATTGGTCTCTGTTTTCATTAGAGAGATTTTTGCATGAAGCAAGGAAGATTTGCCCAAGATGTTAAGGATTACCTTGTTGGGACACTAACCTGTTCCATCCTTCTGAATCTTTAATTACCTTTCTAAATAAATTAGCTACGACTTGAGCAGGTGATCTCAGGGCAGAAGTGATCTGCATTTAATCTTAGTGGTGGATTCAAACCTGAAGTAGTGGAATAGATTGTTTGGGGACACTGTGAATTTGATATCACTGCCAAAATAAAGAGCAAGTTAGACAGGTATGTCAGGGATCATGGAGTTGACGTTGTTGTAGAGCAGTAAACAGAACAAATGACCTCTCAGCATCTTTTGAAACTTATTTCTTACAACCATGCATTGAATTTAAAATAGCCTTGGTATGTAGTTTAATTATTTGGTTCTGAAGTATGTCCTAAACGGTAATTAACTCTCTGTTTGAGACATAACAGACTGGAACATAACAGGGAGGTTTGTCCCAGTCTAGGTCCTGTACTTTTTTCAGCTGATATATSCTTGTTACTTTCTTTAAAGAGTATTTCTATTACAATTTTTAACTTGTAACTGTTAACAATTCTCTTTACAAATATGATATATTTCTTCAGKCTTGGTTTCAAAAAGATTTTCCTCTTTGCTGCTTGAGGTTTTTATAGTGATAAAAAGTTGCTTCCACTACTTTTAATGAAAGAAACAGTAGAAATTGCAATGATTAGTAGGTCTGCTGCATGGTGGGCTGCCAAGGAAGAGAAAAATTTCCAAACCATTTTAATATGGTATACAGAACAATTGTTCTCTGAACTGTTCCTTATAATGATAAGCTACTTACCACCATTGGGAATGCGTGCTTTTGATGTCAGTAATTTTAAGGGAGAAATATGCAGTATAGACATCTGTGGCATGCTCTTCCAAAAGCAGGCTCACTTATAATGTAACTGGCTGCTGCTGAAGAATCTGATCAGGATAAATAAGGTTAGGAGAAGCTGGCTAAAAATGTATACATGCTTACGTATACATGTTATGTAGGCAGAACACTAATTTAAAAAAAAACAAACAAACAAAAGAAAAAGACAAAAAAAAATAACCMAAAATAAAAACCAGCAAAAACCCCTGGAATAGAAAAACTTACATAAATAAATCGGTAAAGCTGATAGTTCAGTGAAACTGGGATTTGCTTCCCTTAAAATCAGACATAGATAGTTTGGGTTTTGTTCTTTCTTATACGACAGTAAAAGATCAGGTAATGTCACTTTAATGCAGTGGTGGTAGAGATCTTGGCTGTGTTCGTTATTACAAAGGCATAAGTGAAAAGCTGCCACTGGACATGAGTAAAACTTCTTCAGGAAGCTCATTGGAGGTATCAAATATGCCTAATTGTACCTTTGTGTTAGGCTTCTCCAATTCATCGCCCTGGCACTCCTCTATTGTGGTAACTGGGGCGACTGCATTCGTAGATGAAAAGTAGTTAATGCAGCTTTTTAAAATGCAGGCTCACGGAAATGAATGAGGACTACAAGCGCTAGGGCTAATTCTTCTACATCAGAAAACTCTTCAGGCAGCCTTACTGGTGCTGCCTAAAACCGAGGTCTGGGGATTCACCTGAACCGCGCTAAGGCCTGCAGTGAGAAAGCCATAATTAATTTCAAGCACCAAGGGCTGGCGATGTACGGCCGCACAGTTTCGCACATGCCAGGACTGATGCGCCAACTTCCCGCGCAGGCGGTGCCATCGGGGAGGCAGCTGCGACCCCTCCCCTCGGGGACACAGGGACCGCTCCCGTCCCGGGACCCCGCCCGAGGTGCTGCTCGTCCCGTTTGCTAGGGGCAGCACAGCTCCACGTACAAGGTGTATCCTTCCAGCTGCCCTTCCCAGGAATCATAAATAATCCTACCCTCCGTTTCTCCCCCCGCCCCCGTGCTACGGACAGCGGCAGCCCTTATCAGCCTTGCCACCTGCCTGGCCGSGGCGGAGGCGGTGTCCCGGGGAAGGAAAGGGGTTGTGCCAGGGAAGAGAGGAAAAAAAAAAAATAAAGAAGAAAAAAAAAAGGAAGAAAAGAGAGGGTTTTGCGGGCATGGGGCCGGGGAGGAAAGGGGCCTCCCTACGGGTAAAAGCAGGGGRCCCAAGGGCGCGGCGCCGGCGATAAGGGCGTCCCGCCCGCCGGGAGGTTCTGCGCCCGGATCCTGGGCTCTGCCCGTGCTCGGCTCCCTCCCTCCGCCCCCAGGGACAATGCAGAGGCACCGGGGACACGCAGCAGCGGCTGGGACATGAGCTGGGGGGGCAGCCGAGCCCCCGGGCCGCTCCTGCTGCTCCTGCTGCTGCTGCTGCTGCTGCTGGCGGTGCCGCGCTGCGCGGGGCGGCGGAGGGGTAAGTGCGGCCGGGGGGGACCCAGCTGGAGCTGGGTGCTGTCAAACTGCCCGACTGCCCTTGGTGGGGGTGGCAGGGCATCCCATGGTGGTGACTGAGCGTTTTCTGGTGGTGGTGGTGTTGGAGGCAGGCAGTGCTGGTAGTGCCGAGGTATCCCATGGTGGAACAGCCCGCGGTGGTGTTGGCGGTAGTGGTGGCGGAGCAGCACGTGGTTATCGTGTTGGAGGCAGCTCCACTGTGCTGGAGGGACAGACCTGGGTGGTGATGGAGGCACCTGTGGCTTTGGTGGCAGAGCGGCCCGGGGCGGGCACCATGCTTTKCACTGGCTGGTGCATCTCCTCGACACCTGGTGATGGCTGTAGTGGCAGCAGCGACATTGTGTCCTGCCGTGCTCAGAGGGCATTGCCACTGCAGGAACTGTGCCTGAGGGAGCACATGGGTAGGACCAAAACAGTAAGATGACTGTAGTGCTGGCATGATAACTTGTATGTTGTGAAGGAGAAGTAATAAATAAAATTTCAGCTGTAGTAGTAATGGGTGGCGGGAAATGGAAACATTTTTATCTCCTGAAGTGGCAATCTGAGGAGGATATTCCCATGCTTTATCAGAAGATTGAGGTATCATGAGAAAGTTCTCACCATGGCTGTTTGTGAATTTAATTTTGTGATCTATGTTGGCTGTCGATCCATGCTGACAGTTTGTTTTTTCTATTCTCACCAGAAACACACAAGTGTATAAAAGCATGGATAACAATGAGTATTTATCTATGATGCTTCCCACAGCCTTAAGGCACTCACTCGTAAGTGCACTGTGAGTAAAACAGAAACCCTGTTGATGTGGAAGGGCATTTTTATCACAGTGATAAATTTGGCATATATAAAAAACTGGAGTATTCAGCTTGATGCCCAAAAGACAGGCTAGAAATAAAACCCCGTAGACTGGTGTCTACAGAGCAGGTATTTGTTTATTGCAGCGCTGGAGGTGAGGGGGATCTCTCCTCCTAACTCAATTACCCTAGCTTAAAATTGACATTTATATAGTAAGTATTGCTTAACACTGTCACCATCACTACTTCCACCACTGTGTATGGGGATGGAAATAAATGGCATCGCAGTTGTTCAAGTGCACCTGCACCATCCCCAATTTGGTGTTCGCGGGATCTCCCTCTAATGAGGGCCTGAGGTCTTCCTTGCCTTTGGACTTTTCAACTTTATCTTCAGAGCATGCGCAGCCATGATGTTCCATGGTTTTTTCTAGTCCTCAAGGTCTGCATGTTCCATTTTCTGGCTAATTGTCTATACATTTGCCAAGCTCTCATTAGTGCATTCTACTGTTCCTTAGTATAAAATCTACTTGTCTATTTCTGCAGTATAGTTACCTACTTTTGAAATATTCTCCCTGGCGATTTTGCTTGTCCAAGCATCAAGCAACTGGCTTAACTATATCCAACTGGTACATTGCATGGTGCTAATACACTCTATGAAAGCTTATAACAATATATGAAAATACTATTATATTGATAATATGTGAAAAGCTATTATATTGTATATAAAATTTTCAATCAATGTGCCATATAATCATCTTGTAATTTTGACTTGAACCTCATAGGCATTAAGCTTATGTAGACATTGTACAGTAATCAAAATTTTGTGAGAGGTGCTATATATACAATGATGTTAGTATTCTTATCAATGTTAGAAAAGTAAAAACTTCCATACGTCGTTATCAAGCACCACAAGACATCACCTCGTGCAGTGTTAGTTCTTTCTTCTAAAATGTAAAAAGGTGTGAGCCTGTGCATGCTTTGTCTACATTAAAGCCATCCATTCTGACATTTGTAATTTGGAATGTGAGGGAATGTGTGATAATAAAAAGGGCTTACAAAAAAAAAAAAGGAGGAAAGTGAGCATAATGCCCTGAAAGTATGAATACAAAGAGGATAATTGCAAATTTATACTTTATTCTCRTTTTCATGTATGTCTACAGCCCTTCAAAGTACAGTAGATTAATTTGTATGTTGTACGCTTTTAAACCACTTTTAATATAAATTAATTTCCAAAATTACTTAACTGTAAGTAATTTTACTCCTGACAGCATTCTCAACATATTTTTTATAAATAACATTTTTACCATATACACATGGATGTTATGTGACACAAGCAGATTGATAAGATTGTCCATGTGTAAATAATAGGCAAAAAAAACAAAAAACAAGAGGAAACAGAAATAAGGACAAAAGAGAAACAAATGGATATGGAGAAAAGTTTAATAATATTGGACAGAGCTACTTATTATGTGCCTTACTGATTGCTGAAAAGCTCTTTTCCTTGTTTTCAGAGAAGAGGTGGACGGACAAAAATGCTCAGTGTAGTTATTTGTTTAATCCTTTATTTTTCATTTTTAGTCTTTTTATACAATAGGTATGATTTTCCTACAAGTTTGAAAATGAGGTGGGAGGAGGTAGTAGTCTATTCTATGTGTTTTAATCTGCATTTTCTCTCCACTTTAAATTCTGTGCCAGTTGCCCTACCATGCCACCTGTAAGGTATTTTTAAAAAATGTATTTGTGTCTTTTTTCCTTAAAGCAATTGCAAACAGATCAGTTCCTGATGTCTGTGCAACTTGCCACATTCATGCAACATGTCAGCAGAGTGGAGGAAAAAGTGTTTGCATCTGCAACTATGGATTTGTAGGCAATGGAAGAACCCACTGTCAAGGTAGGCTGCCTGGTTATAAAATGGAAAGAGTGTCGCTAAACTCCTAAAATTACTTTTCTCAATTAATGTTAATGAATTCTTCAGTAAGGAGAAGCTTTGTAACTTGAGACTGGGTGAGGAAGGAAGGAAACTCCACTTCTCTTAATCTCTTTCTTACATGTTTTAAAAATCCGAACAGATAAAGATGAATGCCTGATTGGAGCCAGAAAGATCTGTGGAAATCATACACTGTGTCACAATACACATGGAAGTTTTTACTGTGTTTGCCTTGATGGATACCGAGCCTCCAACAACAACAAGACATTTATTCCCAATGATGGCACAAACTGTACAGGTAGACATCTCAAAGAATCCTGAGCATGATGAATCCAGAACTTAATTTTCTACTGCACAAGTATTTTTTTTCACCATCACTGCAGAATTTATTTTCTAACACTACATCAGAGAACTTTCTGCTTTTGATGCACTTGTTTGACATCCAGACTCCTAACAGCTGTGAGTTAGCTCCATTTTGAGCTCTTTGCTATGTTGCAAATGATTGTTTCACAGTCTCATTCAAACAATGATCTTTTCAGAAGAAGAAGCAGCAGCTTGATTAAAGAAATAAGATGATACTTATAATTCCCCAGAATGTCATATTGGTGTTTAGTGTAGAATATTAGCCAGTTCCTTGTTAAAGCGATGAATTGTWGTAAGTGTTGAAGGCATGAGCAGATACTGGATTTTTCTGGAATTGTTTGAACAGGAGACAACATTTGTCAAGTAAACCAGCCGTATTTCTGAAAATAGCTAGCTACAAAATGGTAACAATTCTCTCCCCAGATGCTTGAAGGTGAGACAGTGATAAGCTCCTTTGTTTTCCCAGAAGAGCCATGAGAAGCTATGTAGAGTTTGAAGAGTAAAGCTTGTGTCCTATATTAATTAATTAAAACAAAATGACTTGATTATGAAGTGCATCTGTTTTCTCTGAACTTTCAGATATAGATGAATGTGAGGAGTCTGGGCTGTGCGGTCACAATGCAAGATGTGTGAATACTGAAGGAAGCTACATGTGTTACTGCAATGATGGTTATAAATTAGAAAATGGAGAGCATTCTTTTCGTAAAGATGAAAACATGGTTTCATGCAAAGGTGAGAAAAAAAGCCACTTTGGATGGTGTTTTTCTGCCTTGGCAGAAGCCCTCTCTCTGTATTTTATTTGCTGTATGATTTTTTTTTCTCTTGTATTTGGTTTGTTCCAGTGATGGCAGGATCCTAGAGTCAACAGCAGATATTCCTACAGGTACAAAGCAGTGCTTCAGAGAAGTTTAATAATGCTATGAAAGTAATGTAGYTAGTTTCCAAGTAGAAAGGAAGTGTGTTGTAATCCAGTTGTTTATATAATCACACCACATAAAGGGGAAGAGCAGAGCGACTAAATAGCTGATAAGAAAGGTTAGGTGAATGAAATGAGCCTAGGGGAGAGGAATAATAAAATAACAGTTTTGCTATTTATTACATACTGTGCCTCCTGCATTAATAAACTGTTCTGTTTATGTTGCCATAACAAAGCAAACCTCAACCAAAACAAGGTTTCCAATTTGAAAATCTGTCTTTAATGTCAGTTTTCACWGGTGAAAACTGACAGCAGTGTAAGCTGTAGATGTCAGAGTATATAATGAACTCGGGCATCCCAGGTGGAAGGAGCTGCCTAGATTATATCCAGCTTTTATTTCTGAAATATTGCCAGAACCGTCAGTAAAGCTCACAGCCGGTAATTGCTCGGTTTTTCTGACTGGAGTGCTCCGCTTTGTTTGCCAGAATTGCTGATAACCCTGCTTATCTCACTGACTTGCCTCTCCATGTAGTGGTGAAGCAGAGTGTCTGTACTGATTGTGTTTCTTGCAGTGTCGCACAAGGGAGCCCTGTCAAGCAGATGTGCTGGACGAGTGGAGCCTTTGTATGCGGGCTGTTTCAATGAGATGAAGGATTTGAGAGGCAGAACGTTTCTTTTCAATTTATCTGCTGAAAAGTGCTTCACTTTTCCCAGGCACAGGAAAATAAAGCCGTGCACTGGGGCCTGAAATTTCCCTCTGATGCTGAAGTGTCATTCAGCCGTTGCTGTAATGAGATTGGCCCACGCAAAGCACAATCCCATTGCAGTGTCTCATCTTTGGTCTTGTGAATGGCTCCAGCTGTATGTTAGTAAAGGTGTTCCTCAGTAACTGCTTCCTTGTGTTCCTCCAACTGTGGCCAGGACAATTCTTCTTTAATAGAAGAATTTAATATTCAGCTTTAATATTCTACCCCTTTGGGAATCACTCAGATTCTTCAGATCAGGTGGATTTTGTGATGTGACCATCCAGTTCAGCTCATTTTAAAGTGTTCAGATGTTGTGATTTATGTGCTGTGAGATCCTTTAACCCAGTCTCTTTGCAGAAATTGGATGTGGTTCCCCTCCTGAAATGAAGCATGGCTACATTGTGGGGAACTACAGCTCACTGCCAGGAAGTGCAGTTCATTATGAATGTCAAGAAGGGTTTTACAGCGACCAAGGAAAGGTCTCATACTGCACTGCAAATGAAACTTGGGAACCTGCCACTTTAAGCTGTAAAGGTGAAAAGAGTCTTAAATCTTTCTTATTGTTTTCATTAAGGGAGTTCGATGCGTGGGAAGTGGRTTTGTGAGCATAGTAGACTGTTTCCTCAATCTGAAGTGCTCTGTGTAGCGATTCTAGAGGGCAGAATTGTCATCCTGAAAATTGTCACTTAGGGAGGAGAGGTTTTTTTCTGTCTTTCTCTGAAACTTCAAAAGCCCTCTTGCTTTCTAATTCTTTCCCTTCCTCTTTTTTTTTTCTTTTTTTTTTTTTTTTTTTTAATTGTTTTCTTTTTTTTTTTTTTTTTTTTTTTTTTTTTTCTTTGAGAATGGATACATGAGAATGTAACATTTATGGACAGTGAATAAATTAAAATAAGGGTGCTAAAACAATGTGGTTGGTGTAAGTGAAATATCACTAGAAAGAAAAAATAAAACAATTACAAAACAATGACAGTAATATTTCCCTCCCAAAAAATAAATAAAGGATGAATTTGAAAACAAAAGGGGAGTGCCCAAAGCCTATAGAGAAAGCTTGTGGAATTTAATTCTTATGAGTTTTTGGTATATTTTTCAGAAGTTGCTTTTTCATGTGACTTTTAAATTTCTACAATCAAACAGGAGGTCAGGTCRGGGTTTCTGAGTCCATATATTATGGTTAATTGAAATAAAATACATGACACACCAAGAAATGGCCAAAAGTCTGAAATGTCAGACTTATTCCTCCTTGTATTTCAYGCTGTTTTCCTGATTTTCAATTAGGACTTCTCTTTTTTTGTAAAACCAACAAGTCTATTTTTTTAATACTAGTAAATGTACCTTTAACAAWTTCTTCATAATTTTGTGTGTGTGTGTGTTACGTGACTTCTTTGTTTAAGTATTTGTCAATGAAAATTTGGCATGTTTGTAAATAGGGCAGCCWTTAAAATATATTTTGAACATCATGTAGACTCTTGCCTTAACAGGAAGCTTTTGTATTGTGTGTTGTAACCTTTTCTATGGTTTTGCATGTTTATATTCTTTGTAGACTTTTAAAGCTTTGYTTTCTAAAGGCAATTTCTGCTCATCTGCCTTCCTCCAAGTGTTGCTCATTGCAAATGGCATCAAACCAGTTTCTGGATAATCAGGTTTGTGAAAGCAAGGCAATCTTTAAAGATCCAGAAGAAAACYATGACCTCTTCTGTATACTGGCAACTAGACCAAGGAAGAAGTCACAGATTTAGCAGGACATCCTGAGAGAAAGGCAGAAAGGTGTCCTTTTATTTGGAAGCAGATGTTTGGAGTAGCTASAGCAGTGTCATAGTGTGAATATTGCAGAGGCCCCAAGAACTGTTGTATTACTACAGGAGAAGCAGGCTAGCTGGTAAAGATTAAAGAATTAGGGGAGTGCAGCTGTCATTGCTCCTGCTGGTTGGCTAACAAGTCTATCTTCCTCTTCCTCCATCTCCTCAGGTGTGGATTGTGGGGTTCCACCTTCTGTTTTGAATGCACGCCCACATTCTGTAAATGGTACCACATACAGAAGTGAAGTTACTTATGATTGTGTTCATGGTTACCTGACGGCAAGTGGCAGTGGCACTGCAGTCTGCAATGCCAGAGGACAGTGGGATGGCCCTGATTTGGTGTGCAAAGGTAAACAAAATCTGCCTTCAGTTTTATTTAGCATAGATAACATTTAAATCACTCTAATAAATATCAGTCATCCTCTTTGGGCATTCAGTTTATACAGTATTCTGGCATAGAAAGTTCAGTCACAAAATAAAAATAATATATTGAACAGGTTTTTTTTTAATCTGTGTTGATAGTGAAGTTGGAATAAATTGTTAGAAGTTAGCATTCCAAGAACATAATCCCAGTGCATGTCAGGCATTGATATTACTATGAGATGAAAATTCAGCCTTAGTTGCAGGCATCTTTTCTAGTTCAATGTCTATTCTACTTTTGTGATAGCGGTTGAAGGCATTATCAGAAACTGCACTGCTGTTAGGCATTAATATCCCTTAAAAATTCCCATATTTGGACAGTTTCCAGTTGCAACTCATGAGTGCTCAAGCGTGCTGTTGTTATATGAGTTGAGTCAGGTCTCTTATAGTGCTGTGATTTGGAAGAATATAGCCTAAAGAGCTCCTCAATAAGATGAAAMAGAGGTAAATTTTAAAAAAACCTATTTAGTTTTTTTTTTTAATCTGGGATCATATTCTTAATTAGGATACCTCAGAATAATTACATTCCTTAGCAAGTTTTCACATTTGCACAGCTTCGCTTTTCTATTTGCTGGGTGATTCATATCTTTTTGGTTTGATCCAGCAGGATCAAGCTGTCTGTTTGTTGCAATCACATGGGGTAATCTTTTCAAATGCACAATGTGTATGTTATAACCACTCTACTTTTGGAGTATTCTTTAATATTCTTATTCTGTGYTTGTGCAACTTGGTCTGCTTACAGAATGGCCATGGGTGGGTAGCTGGAACAGCAGTTTTGTATGGTAGGAGGACATACTGTCCTTCTGCGAGTTAAGCACGTGCTTTGCATGTGCAGGAGTTATTCCAAAGCTTTTTCTGATGGTTTATGATAGATACTTTCATGCACATTGGGATATGAAAGGGAAGGCAGTCATGATGGTGGACGTATAGCGCACAGCAATGCATATGTTTAGTTTTTCCTTTAAAGGCTGTACAGATCCTGATTCTATTTTATTTTTTTGCTTTTCCTTTTTTTGGTATAATTTCAGAATCACTTAAAATTATTAAATGGTTTTTAAAACATTTGTTTTCTGCATATAAGCTTTAATGAGGGTAAAGTTTAAATTCTTAAGAGTGTTTGCATCTTATCACTGAAGTGGACAGAATCTTTTATTGGGGTGTGTGTAGTGTACTGTGCAGATTTAAAAGCAGATTTTACCCTAAATAATGCTGTTCCATCTGTTTGCTTTTCACTTTTTATTCTTTTTGTTTCCTGTTTTTACTATAAAGCCCCTGAAAACTAAGCAAATTAATTAAATTTTAAGTTCATTATCCCAGATTTCTAATTGTCTGTAAAGTGGTTTGAATAATCTATCAAATTTTCCTCAGAAATGCTCATTCATCTTGTCTATAGCACCTTCTTTTTTTCAAATCTTGAATCCAGTCCACTGACAAAGGAAYATAACCTTCTTGATGTTGTTCTTTCATGACACTCTTTGGACCGTGTGTGTCTTTTTTAATATCTGCTGTTACTAATGGCAAGTAAAATAAAGGAATAAATAGTATGTGGAGGATAAGAGAGACTTGTGGGAAGAYAGATCTATTTATAAAAATTTGCTTAAAGATCGTTGCTCTCCATTCCTAATCAGGACACTTCATTTTATTTTATGGGGCATCTTGTAGGATAAATGCTCCACCCTTGCTAGAAAGTTTCCAGTCACAAAATCTTCAGTTCTGGTGAACAGGCCTGACTTCTAGAAATCACTAAAAATTGCAAAAWAGTGAAGTGTAACTTGCTGGAATGGTCCATTCCTCCATCTTAAACACTTTGATTTGTCTTGCCTATCTTCATTTCATGGTTTTGTTTTCCTATTTTTCTCTGTTCCAGCAATAGACTGTGGCAAACCTTTTCTCATTCCACACACGACGATGACCTGGGACAACTCTACCACTCTGTGGAGCAGAGTGTACTATCAGTGTGAAGAAGGGTATTATTTCAATGGAGACAGGAATTTTTCGGAATGCACAATAGATCAGGCATGGGAGAATATTACTTTCATATGCAAAGGTAAATATTGCTGTGGGAAGTTGCTATTTAAGTTGCAATTTAATTAGTTTGTCACTCCTGTTCTTAAGTTAGGAACAGGAGGAAGAATGAAGGCAAKAAATCCCCTTCTGATTTACAGTAGGTAGTGTGGTGGTACTTTTGGCTGGAAAGGTCACAGAAGAGAATGTTAACCATACAGCAGCTTGTAGTGGATGCCACAGATGTTTCTATAGCTGTCTTGCTTCTTATCTCAAGCAGAAGGAGAGTAGTGCACTGAAGTTTTATTGTTTCATTGAGAGCCTTCAACTTTTAGAAACCCGTGGAGTGTCACTAGAGGGGCAGAAGGCATTTAACAATATTTTCGTGTGAATCTAATACTGGTAAGTGCACTGCAGTGAAAGTAGTGAGAATTGAATTCAAAGCCCTTTCTCTCTTTCACTCTCTCTCATTTTTGTTTCTTTGTTTTGTTTTTTGTTCCTTTCTCATAATGCCCAAAGCAAAATTTATTCATGTTTGCCTTTCCAGCCTAGATCTAGTTTTCTGAATTTCATTCCAGAGTTACTTTTTTATGTGAAGAATGAGTCCTGAGAAGGGAGATCTGTAATAAAGGTGGTGTCATACTGTGTGCTTGGAAACAGGATGTACTGACATTTTAATAGCAAAAACTAGCAGATGTTTTGGACTAAGACTGTTGTGCTCTTYATTGTTGTTCTGTGTCCTAAGAAAAGGTTGTCTACCACTGTCCATCTCTAGTTCTTAAGTAGCAGTGCTGTCTTTTGCAGAAGATAGTGTTCATTTAGCTTTGAAACATCCTCATGACTTTCAAAAGGACTGGCAATGTGTCTTTGACTGCTGCCACTTCACTTCACACAGAGTTACTGTATGATGCCTCTCTTCCCTCACTTCTCTTGAGCATTTACTGTGAATATGAAACATGTGGCATCAAATAAAATGAGTATGCAGAAAAGCAGTCATCTCAGCTTTTGCAGTGCCCAAGTAAAAGTAGAATTGCYGTCATTAGAAGTCCTGATTTGTCTTTCATTTGGTAAATTCATATTGCAGTATTTTGTGAATTGATTTTTAAGCCAAGATTGTGTGGAGTGAATAGGTTAATCAAGTCTGTCAGTCTTTGCAGTAACAAGAGTTGTCTTGCGTGCTGTGAAGCTTTGAAGGGCCTGAACCTGCAGACTGCACTAATAGGATTACCATGGATTTCAGCAAGAGCTTTGCCACATTCCAGCTCCAGCCGCTGGATTAGAGGGCCAAAAAAGTCAGTTGTGGTCATATAAAACAGAAAGAAAAACTTACAAAGATAGCCTAACTAGTCCAGATTCCTTAAAAAAAAAATTAATCATCAACAGGAAATTATTAAAAAAATTTGCATCTTCTTGACTTGTATGCTTTTTGTATTTACTAATACTAAAAAATTGCTTTAAAATTAAATTAAATTTCTGTTTTGGCAATGATGTCTTTGAGATGTACATTATCTTAAATGGTGTGTGTATAATTGATCAGTAACTCCCATTAAAAGGAGAGAMTATTATGTACCATTCCAAAATGATTTATTATAGAAATTGGAAAACCATTTGTCTTTTCATCCTGCCTGGAAAATTCCATTAGAAATAAGGAAGTTAAGAGAACATCCTCAGGAAATTGTCTTTGACAATTAATTTCTTCATTTCTTAGAAAGTGTTTGCAATGGAATACCCTTCATTTGCATTTTTTTGTGCATTGTATGTTGGAATAGATGGTAAATGTATCTCTGTGTGTGTACAAGTAGTMCATTAATTAGTAGCTAGTTTAAATATTTAAAAAATCTTCACAAAATTAATTTTATTTGTGATCCTGATGAGGTTAAGCCATCAGTAAGGTGTGGCAATAGTCAACTGGATTACAGTCTTTACCAACCTCTCACCTATATAAAACCAGGAGACTGAAGTGCAGAGAACAGACCAGCAATTAAAATACCTCCAGTGTGCTCAGCGTGTGAGCCTGGACATCCTCTAGAGCTGGTCCTCACGGAACTTCTTTTCCTGGGKATTAGAAGTTTTTGGCTTCCCAGAATCTTAGAACAGTCAGTGTTGGAAGGCACCTTTGGATATCATCCATTCCACCTCCCTGCCAAGGCAGGGTCACTGAGAGCAGGTGGCACAGGAACAAATCCAAGTGGGTTTGGAATGTCTTCATGCTTCCCTGAGCATCCTGTTCAAGAGCTCTGCCACCCACAATGCAGAGGTAGAACTCTCATGTTGAGGTGGAACTTCTCGTGTTTTAGTCTTTGCTCCTTGTCCTGTCTCGAGGCACCATTGCAAAGAGTCTGGTACCATTCTCTTGACATCTGTCTTTGAGATATTTTCATTTGTTTCACTACAAAAATGTGGTCTGTATTAGAGTAGCAGATGGTATTTGCAGTGTGATTCACCACTTGAACAGAATTGAACAGGCAAAAATATACCAAAAAAATCTGATACCTGGGTTTTCTCTTTCCACTAAATTTCCTGTATGTGGGGGGATAGGTGGCAAGAGCTCTGTAAATGAACTTGCATGTGTGGATTCTCTTTTAGCTGCTCACTGAAGATAAATGTCCGAGTGGAGCTGATTCTATTTGCTCTCTGGTAAAAAAAATTGTATCTTTTAATTTCTTAWCGTGATTTCTCCTCCTCCAACATTCTCTGATG